GTGTAGGGGAGGGGGCTGGTGTCCTGCCGTTATTAATTTGGATGGTCTTGCATCTCACCCGCAAGGGATCGCGTTACTGGACATATGGCGTCACTCAACCGGGCGGCTGCCTGTCATTCAGAACACTTTTAAAATGAATATTGGACAATTTTATTTCCGAAACTGATAAAATGGTCGAAGCATGTCTCTCAAATGGACGCACACCTGCCACCTTTGTGCCGATTTGGCCGGTCTGACATCTAGCCTGCAGGGAAGTCTCGTACTGGTCTTGGAACATTCTAGCCAGAGTTGCGTCTCGTGATGCGTGAGTGAACACCTGTAGGCGATGAGACGTTATATACAGCTCTGGTATGTGGACATGCATGCATACGTGTTACATTTGAACCAGTTCGGGCGGCCTTACATTTAAGCTATGGGGAGGTCTATTGTTGGGCATTTCAGTCATTCATCGGCCGGCTGCTAGTCGCTCAGAACGCTTGTGCAAGGGCTCAGTAGCTGTTGCTCACGCCATATTTAGAAGTGAGAATTTTGACTGAAATGCGATGACTAGACAGTCGCAGTCGCTGTTGAGAGAACAATTATTCCATTTTGTCTCCCATTGAGCCTTTACTGTGCTGGCGCGCGCTTGTTGCACGCGGTGTTTTCACTGACGTTCCGCGCCTGCTTGGGTGCACCTTGTCCCTGCCTCGCCGGCCGGGCAGCCGCCGGCCCACCGGTCGGCGGCTGCCAGCCACCTTGTGGTAGCCGGGCGTGAAGTAGGTCCCTTAGCGCATCTTTGCCGAACTGCAGAATGTTCCACATTCGAAGAAATGAAAGGAAGAATCATATGTGATAAAATAAGCCCACTTATAATTCCATGCACATAGTCCAGTAGCAATCCTCCATTAGATGGCAACTTCAAATGCTCTGTGATATTCACCTCATGTTGGTCTTGTTGCCAGCTTCACACCTGTCATTAATGGGTTTACAGCTTGATACTACTGTATGAGAATATGGCCATGTTTGTCTCAGACTGCAATGGTTTTTTCTTGAACAGCTACGTCCGGCAGCCATGCAACCAACTCGAAAGTGGGCTTCATCGGTCTTGGAAATATGGGAGGACCCATGGCTGAGAACTTGATCAACAAGGTATAAGGCACAACTCATTTGTATTATAGCTTGTCAACAGTTCTTTTTTCAAGAAATGTTGCGGAAATCGTGTGAATACATGCACCATGACCTGTTGGTATTGTTCAAGTTCTTCTTCTGACAGCTTATCCTATATGGTGTTTATCACCTGTGTTGTTGCCCACTCGAGTGTACATCTTCCTTACAGTGGCTGGGGTCTCCTGTGCCAATAACCTGCTTTGGCCATTGTTCCCTGACACGCCAACTGGGCGGACATACTGTGCGGACAGTCCGCAGTGCCGTGCTCGGCTTACGTGACGGCGAGGTGCCTGTGAGCACGGACACACCCCGCATGCCCAGGGCCACGGCGTGTCGGTGTTCGACGTCTCGGAGGAGGCGGCCGGCCGGCTGGGCTCGCTCGGCGCCCAGGTGTGCTCCTCGCCGGCGGCCGTGGCCGAGGGGTGCGACCGCATCGTCAGCATGCTGCCCAACAGTCGGCACGTGCAGGACGTGTACGCGGGTGCTAACGGCGTACTCAGGTCAGTGGTCGTGGCGTTCGCCGACGACGACGGACTATATAATGGCAATGTGGTGGTCAATATAGGTGCTAGGCAATCAGTTATTTACCAGAGAGAAAAACATTGTTTTGTCCGCTGTCTGAAAATTATTTAATATGCTTTCATGTGTCGACAGTTTACATATTTTCTGTGCTGACCCTCGACAACGGCGCTTCTCCTTCATCCGACGTGTCCCCAATCCGCAACGCAATTGAAAAATTGTATGTGGCTGTCGTGCCCGGCGTATTTTCACCTCAACGTACATTTGGCTGGAACAAAAACTCAGCTCATGTCAAATCTGAATATTTGAATGGGTTATTCAGGTTTATGTTCTTACCCACCTGCTTCATATGTATACGTGCCCAAATATTCCAATACTGAGACCAAACCAGGTGCTCAGTTCTGGTCACTTTCTCGAGCAGTAACCGGGGCCAAGAAAAGTTGTTTGTTGACAGAATAAACCAGAGTTCTCTGCTTAGCTCAGCTCCGTCCCCAGCGCTGATATCAGATCGCCACTTGTGTCCTCGTGCGCCGCCACTTCGGTTTCGTCTCGGCGTGAGATGGCACCGTGGCGTGATCTGGCGTTAGGCCCGCCGCTAATGGTACCTGTGAAGGCTGGCTGCCCGTCTGACGCGGCGGCCTGTCCGTGCGCACAGCACGGTGCGGCCCGGCACTCTGATGATCGACAGCAGCACCATTGATCCGGCCGTCTCCCAAGAGATGGCGCTGGCAGCAGACGCCAAGTCCGCCGTCTACATGGACGCACCCGTTTCAGGCGGTACGTGGCGCGTGGCGCTTAATCGCCATTGTCGGGACCCCGTGCCTTTGGGAAGGCTGAGGAGAAGGGGGCGATGCGGTGAGTGGTGGGGGTGATGCGGCGAAGGGGTGACCCGCATTGCTTGTGCTTACCAGCAGACATTGTGCGGGATGAGCGGAATGAGTGGGGGCTGACCACGACTGAGACACGCGATCGCCGGCCGGGAACGCTGACATGTTCACATGCAGGGACGGGTCCAGAGAAGGGGGACGGGGGGTGGGCACGAGCCTCCACCCGAAACCGAAGATCGAAATACATTCCAATTGATCGAACCCACCCCGATACCGGGGGCACGAGTCCCACCCCGATCGGAAAGTGAAGGTGCATCTTTAGGGACCGCTCTAGGGCGCCGAAGACGCCTGACTATGGAGGCGCTCCTAAAGAGACGCCCGGAATGGACCGGAACAGGGCTGGTTGTTAAATGGTCATGAAGATCTAACCAAACCTTGGGAGGCGAGAGGGGGGGGGGGGGGGGCGAGGAGTAGAAAAGTCGCCCCTGATGGTTGAGAGGACGCCCAGTGTGTCCTGCAAGTATGTCACAAAGTCTAGAACGATGCCCTGAATACTAAAAGGACATCAAAACCTTCGAGGGAAAAGCAAAAGCAAAGGACTGAAGAGGAGGCGTCTTCCGGGGGCTTATTTGGGTGCCCCGTACTCTATGTTCTGGGGAAAAGAACACCGTTAATAATAAATTGGCGTCCCAAGAACTGGAAAGCCGCCCCCCAATGGCTCATTGGGCGCCACTGAAGTTCAGAGGTGCGCCCCGAGGGCAACGTGCAGGCTTAAAGAATAAAAGAGTGTCCCCAAACCCGGGAGAGGCGCCCTGAGGACCCAACGGGCGTTATTGACGTTTGAAATATGTCCCAGGAACAGGTGTAAGGTGTTCAAAAATGCAAAATAATATCCCATACCCTGATAAGCCCCCGAGAGCTAAATGGGCGTCCTTGTGGTTTGATAGTAGGTCCCGAAGTCTACAAGAATGCCGTTCTATTTCATGTTTAAAAAAACGGTGCCCCAAACCTTTAGGGGGCTCTGAGGATCAAAAGATGCCCGTGTGGTCTAAGAAAATTTGCTTCGATGTCTAGAAGGGATGAACTTAGGAGTCTTGGTGTCCCACAATGTCGGGGGTGCCCGCGATGGCCAAAAGAGCACCCCTGATGTATGAAAACACGTCCCGATGATGAAAAGAACGCCTTTAAGAACAGAATAGTGCCCAAATCCCCGGAGGGCCATCCTGAGGACTCCAACATTGTCCCTGCGGTCTGAAACGCGTCCTGATGTCTAAGAGGACGTCTTAAAAAGCAAAAGGACGTTCACAGCAAAAGGAAACAAAATCTTGAGAGGTGGTCCCGAGGAGTTAAAGGGTGCTTCCTGGGGTTGGAAATATTATCTATGTTTAAAAGGACCGGCGAAATCTGGATGGCTTGCCTAACATCCGAAAATAGCCCATTAGGCTAAGACACTAAAAATATAATGGCGTTCCAAATTCTGGACAAGTGCCCGGAGGTACTAAAATGGCGTCTGTGATACATGAAAAACGTCACGAGGTCGATAAAGAGGTCCTAAAGAATAAAAGGTTACCCAAGAGCCACATGGGGGAGGGTCTTGCGCGACCTTGGTGCTTTGGATTGGCGCCCACGGTGTCCGAAGAATAGCATACGCGTTACATTCAGGACATTGAAGTCTCAAGGCATGCAAGACAAGACACAAGTTTCAAGCCAAGAAATTAAAGTTTCATAGGAAACACAAAATGTGCCTGTGCGGCAAAGGGATCCTGTTGCGCCTACTATGAAAGGAAATCGATTACGCGGAGGATGAAAGTCCCGTTTGTGTGCTGCCTGCACTTCAGTACCGTCACGAACTACTCTCATACAACGATTCACTCCCGTACGTGACGCCTAGTCCCACATTCCGGTAGTTCAGTGGTAGAGATTCCACCCCTCCACCGTAGTAGCACGTGCCTGTGACTGAAAAATGGCGCCTCAGGCATAGCGTAACGACAGAAAGCGCCCAGCTTCCTGCCTGCCCGGCGACACGGGACCATCTCTCCGTGCAATCTCTGTGCGTCAAAATGCAAAAGCAAATAATCATTAACAACATTTTTTGGAGCTTCACCTGCCACCTCTACTGAGCGTAGGTATTAGCGCCTCAAAAACTGACTCTCCTTGCCTTGGCCGCGCGGCAACACAAGGCGAGCGGTCCTCGGAGGTTGTCAGCTCTATTACGTCACAGCTGCCGAACAAAAGCGCCTGGTGTTGTTGCCGCGCGCTAGCGCTCGTCCTCGGGCGGCAGTCGCCGGAGGTTGTGGTTCACGACACCACGAACAGGTGTCAAACAACGCTGGATCATGGCTTGTCGAGCGGGACTCTGAGCACTATGGGCAGTTTGGTTTTAAGTTAGGATTCCTTGAAACAGGTCCTGATGGGACGTGCATGCGTAGTGCCGCAGCGGGATGCGCACTGTGTGCTCTGCAATGCTTTGTGCAATTTTGCAACATCCTCTTATGGCTTCTCAGGGGGTTCTCGGACCTTGAGAGAAGATTGGAAGTGGTCCTGGGGCTTAAGGATGCATCGTTTTGCCATAAGTCACTCTTGCGGCAGTTCGCAATTTTTGCCACAAGTTTGAAACTTCTCGTTCAGTGTCCTTAATGCTTAGTGAGAACACTAAGTTGGTTTTAAGATGGCTTGACTCGTCAAACAGTTACTCTTTCCCGCAATATTCTGCAACATTTTCCATTATTTTCCTGTAAGAGCTCTGGCGCCTTCGAAGGCCACTGCGTAGAGTTTTAGGACACTACTTGTCTCGTTATGGGTATACCCTTTTCATTTGATGCTAGGAATGTCCTCTATATGTTCAGGCAACGTGGCCGCGTTACAAAGAAAACTGCACTTGTAATGTGCTGCACGCGGCGCGCCTTCCAGTCTATATACAAGTGTGAGGCTGGCCAACGCCGTGCGTCTCGCCTCCAAGGTGCTGTGCGCTGCTCGACCGCCGTGTGATGCGTTGACCTCTTACTCGTGCCGGTAGGGGTGAACGCGGCCCGCGGCGGCACGCTCACCTTCATGGTGGGTGGACCGGACGGCAAATTCGCCGCCGCCCGCCAGCTGCTGGAGTGCATGGGCCAGAACATTGTGCACTGCGGCGCCGTGGGCAGCGGTCAGGCGGCCAAGATCTGCAACAACATGATGCTGGCCGTCAGCATGATCGGTGCTGCCGAGACCATGAACCTGGGCACCAGGTGAGCGGGCCGGGCCCAGGCGGTGGCGGCGGCGCCTGCCGGAGTCGGGAGGCAGGGGTTTGGTGTCGGTCGAAGCCAGGAGGCGAGGGTTCGGCGCCTGCCGGAGTCGGGAGGTGGGGTTCGGTGTCGGCCGGAGTCAGGAGGCCGGGGTTCGGCGTCGGCCGGAGTCAGGAGGCGGGGGTTCGGCGCCTGCCGGAGTCAGGAGGCGGGGGTTCGGCGTTGGCCGGATTCAGGAGCCGGGGTTCGGCGTCGGCGGGAGTCAGGAGGCCGGGGTTCGGCGTCGGTCGGAGTCAGGAGGTAAGGGTTCGGCGCCTGCCGGAGTCGGGAGGCGGAGTTCAGCGTCGGCCGGAGTCAGGAGGCGGGGGTTCGGCGAGTGCGGCGAGGTGTCTGGCATAGCGGCCGGCGGACATCAGAATGTGGTTTGTGATCTCGTATGGGTTAAAAGAGTGGAGTGCAGTTTGCCAAGCGGGTTTTTAAACATACTTCTGAGAGAAAGAGGAAGCATACAATGCGGCACCCGGGTGATGCGTGGCAGAGTAATCATCTGCGTAACTATAACTTGCCTCCGCCTTGTGCGCGCGTTGATTGTGGCTCAGATCGTGCAGTGCAGCCCCGGGTCAGACTGATGACCCCACCTTCATCGGCCAGGCTCGGCCTCGACCCCAAACTGCTGGCGAAGATCCTGGCCACCAGCACCGGCCGCTGCTGGGCCATCGACTCCTACAATCCCGTGCCGGGCATCATGGAGAACGTGCCCTCTTCCAACGACTACAAGGTGAGCCCTCGCACCATCACCGCCTTTATTGCCCGGCCGGCCATCGTCGTAACCTGAAAAACGTATTTTTCCGCTTGCTTGTCATGTTGTTGCACGAGTCGGTTAGCATGCGCTCGGGTGGGGGTCAAATTGACCCCCGAAGGTTTTTCGGATTGGTTTCCTAACGGCCCGACATGGCGACGCCAAATTTTGCATAGCCGCACACAATGGAATAACGGGTCGTTTGGTATCAAACAAGTATAAGTACCTTGTAAGGTCGCTGACGTACGGCACGTCAAAGTCAGGCCATGGATTCAGCGAGGTCAATTTGTAGGAAATCGTTTATTCTGATTCAACCACGGAGTGTTAGACGAAGCCATACATCTCTGAGATACTTTATTAGGCAACACAATAATTGAATGAACAAATTCCATTGACCTAGGGTCAGGTATGAAGGTCAGGCCATGGACAAAACTAACATGCTTAATTACCTCAGGGCCTGCTGTACGCGGTAGTTTCTAGTGCCCCTTTCGAGTTAATTAATAACGGGATCCGCATTGTACATATTTCATGGACTTCCTAAAGTTCACAATTGGCCACCGACCCAAAATGACCCAGGTCAACATTTTGTTTCTAAGAACATTCTGCCTAGCGTAGTCTTTGTTGCTGATTCAAATGCAAAACCCAAAGCAGTCTTGCAGCATTCTGGTCACCATACCCTGTAAAATGTCAAACAGGGTCACTGACCTTAAGGGAGTAGTGGCCTTTTCTTTAGAACAGGTCTCTAGATTCTGGGGGCACTTTGCAGACCATTCTGGAGTTTGATCTTGTTTGACCTTATTTGACCCAAGGTCATTGACCAGGATGTCAATTTTGAACTAAGTGAGTTTACGTACACGCTAACACACCTTGTGACTTTGGTGTCAAGCACTATGAATTCTTGAGATCTCAGGTGGCTCAAATTGACCCCCTACCCGAGCGAAGGGTATCCAGCCGGCCACCTGGACGCGTTTTAGCGCTAGCTTGCGTCTGCTTCTGGAGTGTATTGCCCTAATTCGGACCGTCGGACGGTCTGCGATCGGGCTTGGTCGGCATGATGGGCCTTGGTGACGGTGTGTTGACACCCAGTCTGGTCGGCAGGGTAGGGCCTCGGCGCAGGTTGATGCCCAGTCTGTTCGGCAGGGTGGGGGCTCGGCGTATGTTGATGCCCAGTCTGTTCGGCAGGGTGGGGGCTCGGTGCATGTTGACGCCCAGTCTGTCCGGCAGGGTGGGGGGGCTGGGCGTATGTTGATGCCCAGTCTGTTGGGCAGGGTGGGGGCTCGGCGTATGTTGATGCCCAGTCTGTTCGGCAGGGTGGGGGCTCGGGGCATGTTGACGCCCAGTCTGTTCGGCAGGGTGGGGGCTCGGTGCATGTTGACGCCCAGTCTGTCCGGCAGGGTGGGGGGCTCGGTGCATGTTGATGCCCAGTCTGTTCGGCAGGGTGGGGCTCGGTGCATGTTGACGCCCAGGCTGTTCGGCAGGGTGGGGGCTCGGCGTATGTTGATGCCCAGTCTGTTCGGCAGGGTGGGGGCTCGACGTATGTTGATTGCCCAGTCTGTTCGGCAGGGTGGGGGCTCGACGTATGTTGATGCCCAGTCTGTTCGGCAGGGTGGGGGCTCGGCGTATGTTGATGCCCAGTCTGTTCGGCAGGGTGGGGGGCTCGGCGCATGTTGACGCCCAGTCTGTTCGGCAGGGTGGGGGGGGGGGGGGGGGCTCGGCGTATGTTGATGTCCAGTCTGTTCGGCAGGGTGGGGGTTCTGTGTATGTTGACGCCCAGTCTGTTCGGCAGGTGGGGGCTCGGCGTATGTTGATGTCCAGTCTGTTCGGAGGATAGGGGGTTCTGTGCATGTTGACGCCAGTCTGTCCGGCAGGGTGGGAGCTCGGCGTATGTTGACGCCCAGTCTGTTCGGCAGGGTGGGGTTTCGGCGTATGTTGATGCCCAGTCTGTCCGGCAGGATGGGAGTTCGGTGTGTGTTGGCGCCCAGTCTGTTCGACAGGGTGGGGGTTCGGTGTGTGTTGACGCCCAGTCTGTTCGACAGGGTGGGGGGCTCGGTGTGTGTTGACGCCCAGTCTGTCCGGCAGGGTGGGGGGCTCGGTGTGTGTTGACGCCCAGTGTGTTCGACAGGGTGGGGGTTCGGTGTGTGTTGACGCCCAGTCTGTTCGGCAGGGTGGGGGTTCGGTGTGTGTTGACGCCCAGTCCGTCCGGCAGGGTGGGGGGCTCGGTGTGTGTTGACGGCCCAGTGTGTTCGACAGGGTGGGGTTCGGTGTGTGTGACGCCCAGTCTGTCCGGCAGGGTGGGGGGCCTCGGTGTGTGTTGACGCCCAGTGTGGTTCGACAGGGGTGGGGGTTCGGTGTGTGTTGACGCCCAGTCTGTTCGGCAGGGTGGGGGTTCGGTGTGTGTTGGCGCCCAGTCCTGTTCGACAGGGTGGGGGTTCGGTGTGTGTTGACGCCCAGTCCTGTTCGACAGGGTGGGGGGCTCGGTGTGTGTTGACGCCCAGTCTGTCCGGCAGGGTGGGGGGCTCGGTGTGTGTTGACGCCCAGTGGTGTTCGACAGGGTGGGGGTTCGGTGTGTGTTGACGCCCAGTCTGTTCGGGCAGGGTGGGGGTTCGGTGTGTGTTGACGCCCAGTCCGTCCGGCAGGGTGGGGGGCTCGGTGTGTGTTGACGCCCAGTCCCGTTCGACCAGGGTGGGGGGCTCGGTGTGTGTTGACGCCCAGTCTGTTCGGCAGGGTGGGGGCTCGGTGTTGACGCCAGTCTTGACGCCCAGTCTGTCCGTTAGGGCGGGTTCGGCACGGCGCTCATGTGCAAGGACCTCGGCCTGGCGCAGGCCCTCGGCCACCGCGGCCGAGGCGTGTACGCCGCTCGGCTCGGCCGCCCCACCAGATCTACCGGCTGCTGGTCAATCAGGGCCACGGCCACCTTGGACTTTCTCGGCCGTCTACAAGTACATCTCCGAGCACCGTTAGGCGTGCGCCGCCGGCCCAGACCAGTAACGCATGTCCAGACCTTTTTTCAGTGCTGCGATACACGTCGTGAATCCCGTCCATGCAGTTAGTTCCCAAACTGTAGTAATAACATGTGCATGATTGAGGACGCCGCTTGTGAACGCTCACGGTGCTCCGCGATGACCCAAAAAGCGCGTTTGGTATCATTTGGTTGTAGTTGGTCCTGAGCACTAATTATCCGTAGGCTGTATTCAACCCTGAGTTTCGATTATTTTTGTAAGGATGAAGTTCGCCCCCAAACGGTTATAGCACTAAAGAATGCTGAATTCCTCTCGGGAAGCGGATAGCGTTTAGCGCCATAACAGCGGGCCGAATAGTAAGGTCCAATCCCCACCAGCAGTGCGAACGAGACCCGGACACAAGTTTTGCCCAGTCGACATCATCGTCCCAAGCATCAGTGTCACTCCATGGGACTGTACAGCCTTAACTGCCGTGATCTCCGCGTAGCCCTGCTGCCAGGCACCCTCCTGCCGTACTCGCCATATTAAGCCCAACCTGACAATGGCATTACGAGCAGGGCGAAAATACGAGAAATCCATTTTCGGAGCGTGTTCTTACGCTGCGATTTGCGCGACATAAAGCTCATTTAGTCCCGCAATGCATTGGCAAAACCACGTTTCCTTTGCTACCACCTGGGCAACCCCATTGCCGTGAGCACTTCTCCAGTGTAGGTAGGGTTCGCCCACAAGTGCATGTGTTTGCAGTTAGATGAACTGCGCCTTCCCAAGAGAGTGTGGCAGCTCGTGACAAGACAAAAGAAGTGCTCGATTCCGGACTCAGGATCTGCTTGCTTGGAGGGGGAGGGGAGAGGGAGGCTCACCATGGTGCGTAAGTCCTGCCAAGCCGCCGTGTCTCGACTTGGGGTACGGAGTGGGACGGGGGAGGGGGTCTGGGCCAGTACGGCCTCGTGGCGCGCGTGTTTCGCGGTGGAGGCATGCTCGGGCCTTTTAGTGTAGCGGAGAGCTCTAGCATTCTGATTGTGCAATATTGCTGTTTGACTTACGTAGTGCGGTATAGGTGTTTGTTCATCAAGCTCGGTGGTTAGATTTTTTAAGTTGTATTAGGTTCAGCGGCGTGGTGCGCTAGACTGGCCGGCGTTTGGCGGCTCATTTGTCTGACCTGCTAGGGTTTATTATGCAGGCCATTATCCACGCAGACACTGTGTTGAGCAGGCCCGGAAAAGATTGCGCGTTTGGAAGCAATGTGAAGAAGTCCCATGCAGTGCACATGGTACGAATAGACTGGTATTGGGCTCGTTTTTTGAACATTGGCGAATGGCATAGCGGAGATTGGTGACACCTCCTCCCTGTATTCCGTCCTATTTGTAGCTCACCGGAATTCACGACATATAACGCTGCGTTTATGCTGGACGGCTCGGGGGTTGGGTGATCCTAGTACTTTCGCTGCTTTCCAGCCAGCGGCGAGATATCCCGTGGAATACTTGTCACCAATGTCTGGTATTCAACTGCCGCGCATGTTGTATGTAAGACATGATGTCTCGATGTGACTGGAATAAAGTTGGCATGCTTTATCTTGTCTTGTGGGGCATAAGAGCAGAAAGCCTGCGGATGATACTTTGTCCAACGGACAACTATTCCCCACAAAAGCCAGGCGTACCAACATTTTTCTCCACCTTCCGCTTGCAACGTGTTTTGGTGTGCTCTCTGCGTAGTGCTGCGACTTGACGCTTTCGTCCCTAAAATATCGGCAATGGAGACGTAAAACGACATCAGCTGCTCATACGGCATGGGATAAAACCCCTGGGCATGCATCTTGTGGGGAAGATTGGCCTCGATATAGAATACTTCAAGCGTGATGTGTTTCAAAAGAACTTCTCTTTTGTAGGATTGCATGTGGTGACCAACCGTGTCCAGCTTTCGCGTGTAATGTGTTCAGGTTCCGTGCAGTCAGCGGTGCTGGTAATCCTAAGTGTCCAAAACGTGTTGAAGAACACCGATGAATCGTGCTTAAGTGGAAGATAGCGTTTGTTTTCAGGTTGCGCATATTAATCTGGATATTAGCATGGAAATCATATTTGTTAATATGTTTATGAACATGACATCCTACCATTAATCAAACACAGTTTCACTAGTAAGACAAGGTTATCTGAGGCCAATATTCTTCACTTCATAGAAGTATTCAAACCAGACGTGCATTGCATTCTAGGCTTTGTACTCTTGAGCTTCTTTTTTGTCGTTTCTTGTGTTATGCTCAAGGAAAATTATGACGGTATAACATTTTGGAAAAATCGCAGTTTTTATTTTTGCTTTCATGGATGGTGTTTGTGCACAGGCTGTGCACGCACGCACGCGCGTACACATGTCGCACGCACACATGCACGGATGCACGCACCACGCACATGCCACGCCCACGCACATGCCCACGCGCACACGCACACCCACGCGTACGCGCACACGCATACGCACACCCACGCACATGAATTGAAATCACGTAGAAGTTGGTAATCCACAATATCCGATGGCAACTATAATTGCACGCTAAATGCAAGGAATCAATGTCCACATGCACGAGAGAGAGAGAGAGAGAGAGAGAGAGAGAGAGAGAGAGAGAGAGAGAGAGAGAGAGAGAGAGAGAGAGAGAGAGAGAGAGAGACAGAGACAGAGACAGAGACAGAGACAGAGACAGACAGAGACTCTCCACATACTCAGAGTAAGGATCACACGATGTGACGTCGTGACGTGACACTATACAACATGGATGGTCACCACGGAGTGAGAATCGGATCCGTAGCAATGCGGATAAATACTACGGAGTGAGGGGCGAATCCGTATTAAGTTAGGTATCAGCTGAGAATGTCTGCTTAGACGAAGAAAATAAAATTTGCACTAATTGCCCTTTCCCGGTGAAGGGATTTTTATTAATATTCAACTCATCCATGCAGTATGGGTTTTCGGGATCAGTGTCATGTACAAGGTACAAAACAGGGAGGTGAGGATAGAAGCCAACTGCGCCCAGGGGGAAATAGCGACAATATTCGTAGGAACAATCCGCAAGCACATATACACACAAAAAGTACAAATAGTCAGTGGAGTTTCCCAAAGACCCAAGCCGTCAAGAACAGGGTGAGCGGCTCTCAGGCCCTCAGAGCCCTCATCGACACACGGAACGCGGACAGCGTCGAAGGCTGAGTGACGGCAGGAGGCAGCTGGGTCCACGAGGCGGAAGCATGGTAACGAAACCCCCTCTGTGTGGTCGAGAGTTTGCAGCTCGGCAGCTCCAGAGCTCCGGCCTCGAATGGGCAGGTGGCCCGGCGAGACACCGCGGATCGAATGACAAACATGCGACGAATCGTCAGCGGGCTGAGCGGGTCAAGAAAGGCTTTGTGGAGGTCTCTCGCACACCAGCTGCTCCGCCTGGGCCCAACCCGGGGACGTCAGCGTCGGGCCGACTCTCTCCCGCCGCCGCACGCCAGTCACGATCCGAGCACTTAAGATGTCCGTGAGGCTGCCGGTTTACACAGCAAGTTATTCTGCGACGTGTTCCGATTTCTCTGAAGGTCGTAAGATGAATTATAGCACGATAACCTCAAAAATGAACTTCATTTTGCAATATTATGTGACCTTTGAGGTCTAAAGCCGGGTCAAAAGACGAGAACTCAATATCACCCAAAAATTACCGCTGGATTTCACACTTGCAAATATCAGGATATTCACCACAGAAATAACTGGCGCCCGTCAAACAGTCATGGACTGTTCAGGCCACCTTCAAGGCGAAGCGCGGGTTAAAAGGATGGGTATTCCATATGACCAAAACAGATAGCCAGCCGATTTTTATCTTGCGAAATATCAGAACATTCAACACAGAAAGAACTAGAGTCCGTCAAAAAGTCCTGACCTCTCACGTCACCCTTCGAGGTCAAACGCGGACTCAAAGGGCGAGGAACTCAACATCACTCAAAGATTACGGTCGATTTTAAACTTGTCGGAACGAGAATACTTACTACCGAAAGAACTAGCTCTCTTCAAAAGTTTGGACCTCTCAACGCTACGCTTCAAGGTCAGACGTGGGCTGAAAGGACAGGGAACTCAATATCACCAGAAAATTACTAGCCAGTTTCAAACTTGAAAGCATCAAAATGTTCACAAGTTCAAGAGCTAGCGTCCGCCGTTGTTCGAGTTGTGGTTGGCTGAAGATCTAGTGTTCACCCTGATCTGATTTTCATTGCATTTCTGCGTTTTCTCTGTTTCCTGCCATCCACTAACGTAGAAGCGATTGCCCTTATTTAACTTGGATCGCATTTCTGTCGGTCTTCTCTCTGTTTTGTGACATCCCATTTACGTGGGAGCAATTCAACCAGTCTGGACCAACAGCTTCCGGCCAACGAATATTGACAATTGTACAAAACAAGAAGGATGCATAGTTTGTGGCGTGATCTACGTGTGATGGACAAGCGAGCAGGTGCATGGCCCAAGTCACGTTATATTCCCATTGATGGTGGGACGAATTATTAACATTACCTGTACTGGTGCTTATGGTATAACATGATTCCCCAATGCCACGCTCCTCAAACACGCAAAGCGGGGCACAAACGTGCAAAGTAGCACGGTCAATAATTACAGGTCCAAGGGTCTACCACAGCTGCGCATGCCTGAGTTCCTGCCACCGCCGCCACAGATGCTGTCGAGTCGATGGCTTCTCGTCGTCTACGCACTGGATGTCTTGAGCAGGCTGGATGAGATCAGCTGGAAACTGACAAGCGTCTTGGGGACATCCTCAAGATGGACTCGACTTACAAGGTAATTGACATCGCGCTGCATAAGCAAGACCACGTCCACAATGTATATGCCACTTCATTGCTCGTCCATGGATATTACATCGGGATTGGGAAAATGACGATAGACGAACAGGGAATATATTCGGTTGGGAACAACTCTACAGAGTTTAGGAAATGGG